GGTGGGGGTGTTGACATTAGACAAGCGAGCCATTCTGCAACAACTTAGGGGAGGAGCTTTCAAATGTAGTGTTTCATACTCCAAAGTTCAGAGGAAGTGTTTCGTTCCTTTAAAATGGCGCAGTTTTCGATTCTGATATTATAGTTCGGAAGTGGGGAGAGGAGAGGTAGTAGAAGGCTGCCAGATGACATTAAATGAATTTTTTTCATGACAAAGTAATTCCTCCAATTCAATTTTTTCCCTTTGCCTAATTGAAGTATCATTATAGTCTCATGTTTAATATATTATTTAGCATCTCACCAAGCAGATTGAAAAGGCTGAAAATGAGCAAAGAATGCACATAACACTCATTGCCTGTCTTTGCTCTCTCTCTCATGTAGACATGGAAGAGGAGGCTAGGGGATGCCACTTCTCCACCCCCAGACAGGGGATTCTCACTGGCAGAATATGTAATTCTTCACTTTGGTTTAAAAATGTTCTTTACAGCAAGTGTATTATGTGTTTTCAGCTTAGCTACTCTTAGTACCACACTGCTGTTCAAACAAATAAATCCCACCAAGCCAGGCAGAATGCAGTGAAGGATATACAGTTTTTATCTTTCTTTCATTTTATTGTGGGAAAAGGGGGTGCTCAGATCTCTGTTTTTCTAAGTGTATCGTACAAATCATTTTAACTTGTGTTTATTATTTTGCTTTTTCCTATTAAGTTTTAAATTGCCTCTAGGTTCCTTAGCTTTCTTTGATTATAAACTTCTTAATTAACTCTTATAAGGGGCCGGAGATCACAACTTCATGTTTTCCTTTTTTTGCTGCTGTTACCTTTTTTTTGTTTTTTCTAAAGTATTGGTGTAGCATTAGCTGTTGAGCATCTGGTAGCTGAGGGAGGTGGTGCTAAATGTTTCCTTCCATTCATTCATTAGTTTCCCTTCTTAAAAGACCCATGAAATACTGGTCCACTAACAGAGTGTCTTCGTGGTCCCTCCCAATGCTATTTGACTTTGGGAAAGATGCTTTTCATTCTGAGCTTCTGGGCCCTCAGTTTCAAAATGAACCATGCTTATTATTATTATTTTTTTAAATTTTAAGACAGGGTTTCACCATGTTAGTCAGGCTGGTCTTGAGCTCCTGACCTCAGGTGATTCACCCGCCTTGGCCTCCAAAGTGCTTGGATTACAGGTGTGAGCCACCATGCCCGGCCATGAACCATGCTTATAAGCATATGTGACATCTATTCTCTGGGCTAGTTAAAAAACAAGCGAGTTAAAAATTTGTTTCAGGAACCTAAAATAAAATTTATTTTTAGATAGGTCAGTCTATCAATCATAAGTATTAAATAACAATATTATAAAATTTATTCTCTTGCAGTTTGGCTTAGAGCAAATTCAAATCTGCTAGTAAACTTTGGAGTAAGTAAAGAAAATTCTAATATAGTTTGATTCCTCAAGTACCTTATTTTATAAAAATTCCAGATATTAATGGCAAACTAAATGTTAAATTGACTACAAATAAGGACACCTAGACTTTATCTCCCATCCAACATCTTTATACTTAAAATTTCATAATTAACTACATCGAAGTCTGAAATTTTCAAAAGTTTCTATAATTAGAAAGACACTTTAAACCTTTTAATTTATCTTAGAACATAATATATTCATAAAATAGCTTTGTCTGTGGCCACTGTTTATGTGGTAGTGTTTATAGTTATGTCTCAAATGGGGACTGCCTCAGTTGCCCATTATATGTATACCTCATCTTTTCTTTTTCACAACCCATCACCATGCAGAGCGATGTGTGCTTAGTAAATGCAAAATCATTTTAATATTAGCCTTAGTAAATCATAGTTCTTCTGTTTAAGTGTTAAAATAGCAATACACATATGTTCTGGGTTATTTGTATTAGCATTGCTTTATATAAACATGGATACTCGTGTTGGTTGGATTCTGGATTGAAAAAGTGAACTCAGATTTTATTCCTTTATCAAAAAGATGTGGATCCTAAAAGTCCAACTGTATGGTTGTTGTAGAATGATTAGAAAACATAAAAGAGCAACACAAACTGCAAAATTTTGTGTATTTTAAAAAGCAAAAAATTGAATTAGATTTTTTTTGGCTGGGTGGTAGGTGGGAAAGATTTTAATCATTACTCATCTCATTCTGCATTAATTGTATCTCATCAGGTTTACGATGCAATTGATTGTAAGATACATCTCTATCGCAGTGATGTTAAAGTATAAAAAGTGGATGAAATATGGAAAACACAAATTCTCTGTGTCCCAGGACCTCTAGAGAACATTGTTTCCTATAGAGTAATAGCACATGCTGGGTTCATGTTAGCCCCGTTCAGCTTTACATATCATTAATTAAGTTTTGATGTTCTAGATATTTAATGGACACTAACATCAATATGACCTTGTAGTATGTGTCCAGAGCATTCTAGTGGAGTCTACTGGTTTAGATTCAGATTATGAGAATTTAACAGTCTAATATAGGGTTAGAAAATATTCATGAAACTGGAATAATCAGACATAACATAGCCTTTCTTTTAAAATATTCTCCGGATATTTTTATATCTTTTGATTCTAAAGTCCTCTGAGGATGGACTATAACAATTCTTATCAGTAAAAACTATTTTGGGTATTAGCTCTGTATAAAGACCTGCAGGGAATTGATATGAATAAAATGTGTCATAAACTCAAAGAGACTTTTCTGGCAATTAAAGATACTCATTATCTAGGAAATTTATTTGATACCATTTTTTTCTCTCAGTTCATAGTTCAAACCTGTTTATTGTCCTGTGATCAGTAGAGGTAAAACTTATTTATAATTATCTGGGACAGAAAACAAATCTGATTGAGTCAGGGAAGCCAATGTCTACTTTATAAATGAGTTGTGTGAAATACAGGACCTGCCAATGGAGCCAGTAGGAGCCCAGATATTTATTTCCTTGCCATTCTGTCTTGTACAGGGTCAATGAAGATACAGCAGGAGCAAGGGCAAAATAGAGAGGCTAGAGAGTGAGGGGAATTTGGATTATCTGGGGCCAGAGTGATGCGGGCTTCTGGGCTTGTAACCTTGTATTATGAACCAGGAAGAATTTAGGAACAGCGCCAGGCAGTAATTAGACACTGTCCATTTTAGTCCACTTTCTAGACCATTTTGCTATACAGGGTTTAACTCCGACTCCTGCCATGGCTGTATATCCTGTGCCTTTCCAGAGGATAAATTCATAGAAACAAGATAGAGAGATGACAAGCACATTTGTGATTATTCACATACACTAGTGTGGCTGATGCATCTATTATTAAGCTGATTTCATGTTAAAAAATTTTATTATTATGACATTTCAGTTTGGCACTTTTAAATTTCATCACTGTCCCTTTTCCTGTGTTAAATTTCAGTGACTCAGATATCCCACATCAGAACTATGTGAGACACGAGGTAGAAAAAAAAAAAAAAAATGAAAGAAACATAGTCACTGTCCTCAAGGGTCTCACAGTCTTAAGAACAGAGAGAATCTCAGCCCAGAGAGGGAGCTAGCTCAGCTAGTTAGGACACAGCTGTACTTGGTCGTTAGTAGCACAAAGCAGAACCCTGCCTCAGGGAGATGAGAATTCCAGTGGTCATCCTATAAGGCAGCAGACAGGGCCCCATAGGTTCTGTGATACACTCTGATGATATTAGCCCTTTGAGTTCCCAGTGCTATGTTGAGACCTTGAGATGAAAAGAATTATCCTTACTATCTTCCCTTAGAGAAAGGAATTGTCATGTGTATATCAGCAACTAGGGAGGGCTAACCATCTGCTATATAGAAAGGGCCAAAGAGGCTTCTGTGAATTGAATTAAGAACCCCCTCCCCCACCAGTACTGCATAGTGATTGAAAAAAGAGGAGTCTGATGTTTTAAATGGGAGTCTGTGAAAGTCTGTCGGCATTTTAACCTCCTGGTAAATAACTTGATTCATTGTTACCCTTTTTCTCTCTACTACTTTGTAGAAATGTCATTAGAAGCTCTAAGATTTCTCTGGCTGTTCTATGTCTGGGGCTAACTTTTTTTTGAGAAAGATGAGATTCCAAGGCAAGATATAAAACCTTACACAGGTCATTTGGATCTCTTGAGTTTATGCCTAAGACAAAATAGAAACCAAGAAATAAAAATCTATGTATAAAACATACACAGTCAATTCAGGTATAAGTTAGCATCTGCCACAAATGTTGGCTCAAACATACTGTATTAACTGCAAACATATATCTGTAGGAAGTTCAATTCAAGGTGTGCAATTATAATTTTAAGTTTTCAGTGCTAAGTCAGGTTATACTACCCTTCTCTTTTAACCCGAATTATTAATACAAACAAATCAGCTGATCGGTTGGGCTGAGGAAGATGAGAACAAGGCACTTAAGCACTCAGAAAGTTTGAGCTTTGGTTCATTTTTTATTGAAACACAGTACAAGTGTTATGTTTAGTTTCCCCTGCTCCAAAATAGCACTGTTAATTTTTTCATTTGGTGAATTTTCACACAAGTGCTAATCACACGTTTCTATAAATTATATTAATTTAACTTATTTTCCTAAATGTTGTTCTGCAGTGTGTAGCACGGATGTTCTCAGATTCTTGGCTGTGTAAGCTTGTTGTAGTTGGAAGCGGGACAGACGCATCTGAAAGGCATTATTTGGATTATGGGTGCTGGAGCATCTGATCTCACCTTTTGCTCTGGTTCCTAAATCACAGCTGTTCCACCTCTTTGCATTTTATCTGTGTGTTCTGTCCCCTCCATTGTTGACATTGCCCCAGGGTTGGCTTTTTGGAGAAAGCACTATCATTGTATAAGTTAAAGGGATGGTAATCATGTTTGATGTTAAATAGCTTAGTTTATGGGAGAGGGACTGTTTTAAGTTTAAAAGACAAAACAGGTTAGCTGGCTATAGCAGGCTATATAGTGCTGTTTCTTGTCCTAAAAAGAAGTATTCATATTTTGAAAAAATAATTATATATTTTTTTTCAGAGTATGATTTCATCCATTGTAAATAGCACATATTATGCCAATGTGTCAGCAACCAAGTGCCAGGAGTTTGGGAGATGGTATAAAAAGTACAAGAAGATTAAAGGTAAACTGACTTTTTTGTTTGTAAAGCCTGTTTTCAGTTTCCGAGGTTCATGAATTGTTGGTTGTTTGGAATTTATGCTCATTTAATATACAACTTATATATTTTTTTACAAAGGTGAGATCTTTAATTTCCTGTCATGAGATCCAAATCGGCTCTCTTAAAACTAAGAAGATATTTGAAGTAAAAGTAAAATTAGTAGCACAGTATGTTAAGTTTATAGTTTTCATAAGTGATACCTGCAAAGACCAAAATCCTTTAGAATGGAAACTTAAAAGCTGTCATTCTTGGTTAAATCAACACTTACATTTCAGGTACTGGTTAACCGATACTGTTACCATATCAGGAAGTATTTGATCAGAAGTGGAGTTTGATGTGTCCGTTTGTCGACGATTCCAGAGCAGTGGTGAAAACATTCAGGCAGACTTGGGTTCAAATCTTTGGCTTCTACTTGCTAGCTGTGGGAGCTTAAGCAGATTATTTAACTTCACCAAGACTCAATTTCCTCATCTGAAAATGGGAAATAGTCAAAGTACTTAGGTCACTGGGTAGATGCGAGGACTAAATAAGACAATACTGGCACAAAGTAACCTCTTGATAGATAATAGTAGAATACTAAACTACTAATAATTAATTGTAGGAGTTGTTCTAGCAGTAATGTATTACATATGGAATTATGTTTGGTCCTAAAAATAAAGTTCTCTTATGTAGTAAATAGCATGCTATTTTAGATCACCTAGACCTTTAAACATGTCAGGACCATTTCAAATATGTTAGTGGTGGAGAAATTCTTTTGTTTTCACTCCACTCAGATACCTGCTTTCTGGATTTCACTCCAGTTACCTATTCAGGCCCCTGAGGGGATTTGGGGAATTTTTTGTAACATTGGTTTGATGGTTCTTCTAGTCCATATTTTGCATAATTATGACATATTTATCACACTTTGTTACATGAATTCCTAGCCTTGCTTACACTGCCCCCATTTGAGGGGCAAATGACAATTTATGGTGGGTAAGTAAAAGTAAAGGATGAATTTATTTGTTTTACTTCTTGGAGGTTTTCTCAGGGGAGACAGGGTGTCAAATTAGTACTTGTTGGCTATTGAATACTTGGGAGCTTCTTTACAAGGTTACCTTTTGAAAAAATGAAGTTTACCTACATTGGCAGCACATTTCTGATCACAAAGGTATGAGAGTATTTTTGCTAAATATACATTTTATAAGGCAAGTCAAAACATTGAGCTACCGGGGAGAAATTAAGTACACTGAAAATTGAATTAAGATCCATTTCTTTTCAACAGATTCTAAAATTCTTAGAACCCGTTAGATTCTGGTTTGGGCAAATGCTTTAGGATATTAATATTCACCCTTGTACAATATAAGATGAATAACTCCTTCTCATTATACAACATCATTATGTGGTTGAGAAGGGTTTCTTTTCTGTAAGTGTTGCCTCCAAGTTTTTCTTTTAAAATAGGATTGTTAAAGTGCTTGAACATATCCTCTTTGAGTAAAAATCAAAAGAATCATGCAGCTTCAAGGTCATTTGTTAGATCCCATTTACTTGCTGTTATAAGAGAAAGTAAGAGACTGTCCTCTTTTAATAGGCTGGTGTGTAATCCCAGATTCAGAAAAAAGATTGGAAACTCTTCACTCTAGTGTTTTCAGAATTGCCACTACAGAATGTGTGTGTGTGTGTGTGTGTGTGTGTGTGTGTGTGTGCAGTCGCACATTAACACTCATGTCTTGAGCTTTAATTCTTCAAGCTGTATTTTTTTTTTTAAGATAGTAAATGCACAGTTAAATCTTTAAGTGCCGTAAAAGCAGACTGAGACCTTGATTTCATTCAGCAGGTCAAGGATCCACACCTGAAGAGGCTGTCAGACACTGTGTACACATACTATTCAAAGAGATGGAGCTAGTCATTGCTGTTGAAAAGTGTGTATGTGTGTCTGTGTGTGTGTCAGTAGGAGGAGAAAAGGGAAGGTTAAGGTATGTGTGAAGTAAACACAAGCTGCCATAAAACAGTTCAAGTGGTGTTGATTCATCAACCAAGGGAGTGGGAGGAAAAACAAAGAATTCATGACAGGTATAATGGTGTGCAGAAAATAAACACCCAGAGAAGTGCGTTATGTTAACTTTCGACCCTCAGAAAAAAGGAAGTGTTGGACCGAGGCAGGCACATTTCATTTGGTAGAAGCCTTTTTCTATGAATAGATGTTGCTGTGGGAGTTTCTACCTAGTAGGATCCATTTCTCATGGGAAAGTAATGATTTGATTTGTAAAATTTGTGTCCCTGCTTTCAAAGTGAAAAAAAGAAGCAATGAATTTCAAATTTGGAAACTAGTAGTAGCAAAACCAGAATTCTACCGCAGGGCTCTAAGAAACTAGAAGTCAGAGTTCCATGTCGCTCCCAGCCTCCCTACTTTCCATTTCTACCTCAAAGTTACCAATTTACATGCACTTCTATGCACTGTTCAGCGTGGAAGAAAATCTCAAGTGAACTTACTGACGTCCCAAACTAAATGCAGGCCACATTGTTAAATATGTTTCCTATTATCTGCTAATGTCTGTTTTAATAAAACAGTGGGAACTAAGTGGTTGCTTCTTAATCAAAAACATGATTTCCTAAACATAAGCTATGTGATTCTGTTACAAATTGCCACATATAGATCTCCTAGGTCAAGATTTTTTCTCTTCTCATAGAAATAAACAGTAAAATAATGATATACTCCAAAAGATCAAAGTAAATATGACTAAAACCTGGCAAAAATAAAAGTCTACTGAAAGGATAAAAAAAGATCAGATTGCAAATTCTATAGTTAATGCTTAAATAAATATGGGAAAAATGAATAATCAATAATTTGATATCATCAAAAACAGATGTAAAAACTGTATACAAATGGAATTGTCTAAATTTTGAAGTAAACATTTTAATGTGCATATTTTGAATTTGTTGTTATTATAGCTAAACTATTTACACTTATTCTTTAGAAAGTCCTAAATTGGTTTGGCTTAGCATGTTAACTTTATTTTCCCCAGTGATCACAGCAAAGCACATTCTGTTTACCTTTTTTCTTTAATTTCAAAGACAATCATGGTTGACACAGACATATTTGAGTTAACATGAGCATTACTTCAGGATAGATAGGGAGACAGTGTGTATACTCTGGTTTCAAGGTCTAGGACCACGAATCTGTTTCCCAGGAGTACTTGACATTGAAGAAAATGGAGTGGGTGGGTAGGGTAGTGTGGTAGGTTGGTTTAGGCATTTTTTAAAATTGCTGATCATAGCATACTATAATTGCATCTTGTCTGGATTTTACAATGTAGAGCTTATAAGCTCCCAAGTATAAGAAAAAAAATGTACATTTTATCTAAAAGCAAAAAAAAAAAAAAAAGACCAATATTAATAATTGTTTAATGTTTAGGAGTTTTAGTATTGTACATGAGGAGAATTCATAGACACCTAGAAACATTCATGCTATTCCAAAATTATTTTTAAGGTCTTAGAATTATGAGGAATTTACCCAAGTAATTTTTTTTCATAAGTTCTACACATTTTAATAAATGTATGTATATTTTTTTACCCAACTCTTTTTTTTGGCTGATCCTGAGATGTGAACTTTCCTCATCATTTTTATGAAACAGTGGCTATCATATACGTAGTACCACTATTAGTTTCATGGCAATCTACTTCTGCAGAGGATATAATAAAAATAAGAAAAAGCCTTAAAAAAGAATCTTTTACATATTTTAAATGTGTCCTAATTAATAAGCTACAAGAAAATAATTTTATATCTAAAGTATTTTGTCATCTGGTACCAAAAGCAAAATAAGTAGTCACCTTTGGTGAGGTCAATGCCAATTATTTAGCATGCCTCAAGAATTGAAGTGTCATTGAAAGTTTAAACAAATACTCATGGCTATTATAAAATTATTTATGTCATAAAATAATACCATTAGAATGAATGGACCTAACCAAATCCTGTATTTTGGCCAGAGTGCAAAATTATCCGCATCACTTTTCTTTTTTCAGTCATTGCCCAAGAAACCCCTGATTGTTAGTTGTCTTAATTTTATTTGTTTATTTGAACTTATTTTGCCAGATATTAAAAACCTGGGAGAAAAGAAGATTTTAAAAACCAGTGTTACTTCCGCAAGCCTGGTTTATTCTAGTAATCAGTATTTTATCTGACCCTGTCTGATCTAGTCTTGCAAGATCAAACGTCCAGGCCAGCAGGCAGACAGTAAACAAAGCCCATGAAGGGTTTCAGTAAACACAAAGATTAGATGTTGAATGAAAATTAAACTCCTTGAACTAGTCCTCTGTACTAAAGTGGTTAAGTGGGTTGTGATTAAAAGAAATAAGTAATTATGATCATTATAGCTGAAATGATATAATGTTACCACATTTAAAGCACCTCTTGTACTCGAAAATGATTGTGTCATTTACAAAGCGGTGCCTTGGAGTTGAATAGAGAAATCAGTGTCCCCTGACCTGGTTCCATAAGGCAGCCCTTGCTTAGCCATGGTGGTATCAGTGGTCAGAACAATGCCTTTAATCAACTCCTGGTCTTTCTGCCTCTGCTGTTGTTTAACTCTGATGAGGTAGAAGTAACTTACTTTTGTCTACCTAATTTTTCTGTCATGAAAGAAATTTGCTTTCAGCTTCAGATCTGAATGAAATGTTCTGCAAGGAAGTTTGTCTGCCCTATGTTGTACTTGTTGAAAGTAATGGCAACATAAAATCCTTTGAATATTGTATACATATTTGTGTATTTTATACTGACAAATTATAGCTGTACATATTTATGAGGTACAAAGTGATGTTATGATTTTTAATACAATGCGAAATGATTAAATCAAGTGAATTAATCTATTAGTCACCCCAAATATTTGACATTTTTGTGATAAGAACATCTGAGACTTACTCTGTGATATTAAAATGCACGGTACTCAATTATTAGCTATAGTCACCATTCTGTAAAGTAGACCTCAAAA